GTGGTAGTGGTGGTTTGGGGTGGCTGGCTGTAGTAGTGGTAGTACATAAAGAAGCGACCAACTTAAGAAACTTGTGGTTAATAAACATTTAGTTTAATTAAAAATAATTATGAAACAGTTGAATAAGTCTCTCAGTTGTCACATATACACTTCTCTCGCCTCTGTAATATTGATATAAAAACATTCACTAATACAGATACAAAACAAAAACTTTCGGGGATGAAAATAAAAACTGTCAACTTGGATGATTCGATCTCTTGACAATAAGAAATTTGGTGGTGGCTGCCACAACCTGGCCAGTACGACTGTGTGTTGCCACAACCTGGCCAGTACGACTGTGTTAAAGTCTCCCATACTGTTGTTATGTATGAATGTTAACATATATTACACACTGAATATTGTGGTGCATTATGTTGCAGAAATATATGGCACAAAGAGTGTAGGTAATGAAAAAGACACAATTCTAGAAGAAGCTTGTTTCACAGGTGAAAGTTCCTTTCTGTTATTTTTGTCTTTTTCTCACCACTCTACGTAGTTTTGTACGTGTATAAAGTCTGTTTGCTACACCAGAGACAGTAAGACTGCATGTAACCTGTTCACAACCGTGTAATAAAATTTTAATCTCAAAAAAAAACACTTATTGATTGATGTTAAGTTTGTTGCGTTGTGTGTGTATGTATGTGTATTCACCTAGTTGTACTCACCTACATGTGGTTGCAGGGGTCGATTCATAGCTCTTGGCTCCGACTCTTCGCTGGCCTCTACTAGGTCACTCTTCCTGTTCCATGAGCTTTATCATACCTTTTCTTAAAGCTATGTATGGATCCTGCCTCCACTACATCACTTCCCAGACTATTCCACTTCCCGACAACTCTGTGACTGAAGAAATATTTCCTGACATCCACATGATAATTCTGGGTCTTCAACTTCCAATTGTGACCTCTTCTTACTGTGTCCCATCTCTGGAACATCCTGTCTCTGTCCACCTTGTCGATTCGTCTCAGTATTTTATATGTCGTTATTATATACCCCCTAACTCTCCTGTCCTCCAGTGTTGTCAGGTCGATTTCCCTTAACCTCTTCTCATAAGACATGCCCCTTAACTCCGGGACTAGTCTTGTTGCAAACCTTTGCGCTTTCTCTAATTTCCTTACGTGCTTGGCTACGTTTGAGTTCCAAACTGGTGCCGCATACTCTAATATAGGCCGAACGTACACGGTGTACAGCGTCCTGAACGATTCCTTATTAAGATGTCAGAATGCTGTTCTGAGGTTTGCTAGGCGCCCACATGCTGCAGCAGTTATTTGGTTGATGTGCGCTTCAGGAGATGTGCCTGGCGTTATACTCACCCAAAGATCTTTTTCCTTGAGTGAGGTTTGTAGTCTCTGGCCCCCTAGACTGTACTCCGTCTGCGGTCTTCTTTGCCCTTCCCCAATCTTCATGACTTTGCACTTGGTGGGGTTGAACTCCAGGAGCCAATTGCTGGACCAGGTCTGCAGCCTGTCCAGATCCCTTTGTAGTTCTGCCTAGTCTTCGATCGAATGAATTCTTCTCATCAACTTCACGTCATCTGCAAACAGGGACACCTCGGAGTCTATTCCTTCCGTCATGTCGTTCACAAATACCAGAAACAGCACTGGTCCTAGGACTGACCCCTGTGGGACCCCGCTGGTCACAGGCGCCCACTCTGACACCTCGCCACGTACCATGACTCGCAGTAGTCTTCCAGACAGGTATTCCCTGATCCATTGAAGTGCCTTCCCTGTCACCCCTGCCTGGTCCTCTAGCTTTTGTACTAATCTCTTGTGTGGAACCGTGTCAAATGCCTTCTTACGTCAAGAAAACGCAATCTACCTACCCCTCTATCTCTTGTCTTACTGCTGTCACTCTGTCATAGAACTTCAATAGGTTTATGACACAGGATTTCCTGTCCCTGAAACTGTGGTGGTTGTCGTTGATAAGCTCATTCTTTTTAGGTGCTCCACAACTCTTCTCCTGATGATCTTCTCCATGACTTTGCATACTATACATGTCAGTGACATTGGTTTTTAGTTTAATACTTCGTGTCTGTCTCCTTTCTTAAAAATTGGGACTACATCTGCTGTCTTCCATACCTCAGGTAATCGCCCTGTTTTGATAGATGTGTGGAAGATTGTTTTTAGTGGTATACATAGCGCCTTTCCTCCTTCTCTTAGGACCCATGGAGAGACATTATCCGGCCCCATCGCCTTTGAGGTATCAAGCTCGCTTAGTGTGTGTGTGTGTGTGTGTGTGTGTGTGTGTGTGTGTGTGTGTGTGTGTGTGTGTGTGTGTGAATGCGTGCTGTGTTCCATCTCTGAAACATTCTGGCCCTGTCCACCATGTCAGTTCCTCTCTGTATTTTATATGACGTTTTCATGTGCTCCCCATTCCCTCCTGTCCTCCAGTGTCGTCAGGCTGATTTCCCTTAACCTCTTCTTGTAGAGCATAACCTTAGCTCCAGGACTAGTCTTGTTGCAAACCTTGGCATTTTCTCTGATTTCTTGATGTGTTTGACCAGGTGTGGGTCCCATACTGCATAATCCAATATGGGCCTGACTCACACAGTGTAAAGTATCTTGAATGACTCCTAACTTAGATGTCGAAAAGCTATTCTTAGGTTTCCCTGGCGCCCATGTGCTGCAACAGTTATTTGGTTTATTGAAGTGTGCCTCAGAAGATGTGTTCTGTATGATGCTCACCACAAAATCTTTTTCCTTGTGTGGATTATGCAAACTTTGACCTCCTAGTCTGTACTCCGTCTGTGGTCTTCTTTGTCCTTCCACAAACTTCATGACTTTGCACTTGTTGATTGTTAAACTCCAGGAGCCATTTGTTGGACCAGGCTTGCAGCCTATCCAGATATCCCTGCACTTTGTGCTCATGTGTTTCATCATTTCGTTTATTGTCTTACCCTCTTCCTCTCTTACCCAATGCACCTCATGCAGGAATTGCGTCATACATGTGTATTCAACTTCTTTTGAAGTTTGGTTTCTCCCATCCATCTCATACTGCTTCAATCTTTATTGTTAACTCTACTATGCATTCGAAACTCACGACGACGTGATCGCTAGCGCCGAGGGGGGGGGGGAGGGTTCGTGAGGGATTTTTCCCCATGACTGAACTGTTCAAGGTGAATACAAGGTCCAAATTTGCTGGTTCATCATCTTCCCACTCTCTCTGGCTGAGTCCAGTATCTTGGATCTCCAAGTCTCCTTTCCCCCATGTGGCTCCAGATTTTCCCAATCTATCTCCTTGTAGTTGAAATCTCTCATGATGAGTAACTTTGCCTTGTTTATGTGAACCTTTTTGGTCACATTGGTTAGTGTGGCCACCATTGTTCTGGTCTCCTGCCTTTCGGTGGTGGGTTGTACATCACTACTATCGCCATTGAGACCCCGGTTTGAAGTGTTTCTGCTACGCAGTCACCCGCTTCACCCCTGACTAGTCTTCCTATCTCCTCAAAACTCCATTGGTTTTTGATGAGCAGTGCAACTCTTCCTCCCCCTCTGTTCACCCTGTCTTACCTCAGGATCTGATATCCAGACGGGAAGATCCCATCTGTTATCACCCCCGTGAGCTTTGTTTCTGTGAGTGTTGTGATGTCCGGGGATGTGTGTGTATATGTGTAAGTGAGTAAGACACGTGTGCAACATCTGGGTGACTTTATTGTTAACTGAAACGTTTCGACTGCACAGGCTTCTTCAGCCAAGAGTAAGACACATGTTCCACACGTGACTTACTATTCATTACTTTGCTTGTCAGGAGATATAGTAAGAATTTTCCCTGACGCTAGTCTAAGTCATATAACGACCCACTCAGTGAAGGTTTTGGTTATTCGAGCGTGGCCTTCCGCTGACTTACCGATCCGCCCTGCAATAAAGAACACGAACACATGAAAGAAGGAACACTGCGGAAGCCCTTTTGGTGTATGTTATGGGAATCCCACCCATGTACCAAGCCAACCTATATTAAAATATAGGACACTACCTGGGAGTTTGTTCCACTCATCTATAACCAGTACTTCCCTTCATTCTTTCTTATTATTTTTATTTCAGCGTGTAACCATTGCTGCGGGTACTATATTTCTGCACGTTATTTATATCCCCTTTATTTATTCCTGTTTTCCATTTACACACTTCAGTCATGTCCCCCTAATTTCACTAAACCCAGAATTGACCAGCATAATAAAATAAGGACTTACCAGAGATAAATGAAGCTGACTGTTGTATATATTTCCGTATTATGTGTCCATGTAATGTAATGATAAAGCCCCTGGATGGTGATACGTCTACAAGTAAAGATACCCAGATGTTGCACAAGTGGCTAATTCATCATCAGTAATATAAGGATTTCTATTAAAAATGCATCATAAGACGTGGTATCAAGGTTTCTTCACTCCATTTAAAAAACTATAGAATACTTCATTGTGTCGTAAGATAGGACACGTGATTAATTATTCTAGTGTTGCTCCACCCCAGCTGAATTATTCACTCCATATTGATCGGATTTGTGTCAGTATTATTAGTCGGTGTGGTTAGTTTATTATAACATCTATGTTATTTTTATGGTTACAAAAAACATTAAATATGTGAGAATAATTCACTTGATTTTTTGTATATTAGCCATGAAGAACTTATGAACCATAAAGACTTAATTTTGACACTTATAATACTAATTTTTGAGTATTGTATATAACAGTTGATTATTTTATAAACTATGGAACACTATATAAAACAATATATAATATTTAACTGTACGGTGATATATAAAATAATAAGAAAATGTATTTCAATATAAGATCCTATATATAGAATATTATATAGAACTATAGATATAATAGATGACAGTAGGGTATTATATTTAACTATATAAAGCAATAGGAAATTATAATAAATGAAACGTAGGAAATTAAACATTATTTTCCCCGTGTTAAGGCATGGCGGGAGGTACGTATATAAAGGAGGTCAGAGTCGGGTCCCACCTCACTGATCCTCTGCCCCAGTGTGTGCAAGGATCCCCGCATCTCTTAACTTGCCGACTCACTCGCTTGGTTTAAATCTTTTTTTTTAACTGATTCAGAAATACAACATCACTTTCGCCCTCTTGACATATAGTGGAAAGTCTGTGCTTGTTCAAAAGAAATGATTTCCCTCATGGTATCCACAAGTGAGGCGGATGGGAAGGCCGCCATGAATTTCCTCCCTAGTGTTGGAAGCCTGGTGCTGCTGCTGTTCCTGTTTGTTCAAGGTCAGTGTTTATGGTTGAGAAGACTTAAACACCGATAGGTATGTGAATAAAGACAAAAGTACGCAGATATTGCTTTTGTTATGCATATTATTTTTTTATTGGGACGACTTTTCGCTCGTAACATGAAAGACCTCATCTCAGAGCGTCGATTAAATATCGATTTTCTGCATACTTGTGTCTTCATCTATATTATTACGTATATACACTTGTGTCTTTGCAATGGATCATACAATACAAAATACGAGGACAAACTTGAATGCAGATCGTAATAAGAGTGTTTCCACAATAATGTTTTGCCGTCAAGGGTGAACCTAAGTGTTTAATGAACCTTCAAAATAAGTTCAAGAATGTTAAAACATTAAACATAAACACTTTATTAAAAGTGGTTTATTAGGCTAGGGAATACATGCATCTATATAAAGAATTTAATAGTGCTTATTAGTGAATGAAACCCAGTGTTCTCTCCCACTTCTCAAATACTTAGACAGTGTTGTGTATTTTCAATTTATAACTAGTAAATAATTTATTCATTATGTATACTGTGTAGGAACACATGTTGCTATACATGCAATATATAAGTTCACAGGATCCAGATAACCACAATGACCTAAATAACCTATCCAGAATAGATACAACGTTTTGAAGCATTATGGAACGTCTTGGCCAACGAGACCAAACATGGAATAGCAACAATAACCACGAAGCACACTAAGGCGAGGTCACAGAGGTACTAAAACCAAAGCCTCAATTACAATGCTAGGCAATGTAACTCTCATATGTCCTGACTGTGTCAATGCATAGATTATAATCTGTGCATTGTTACAGTCGGTAATTGTCGGTAATTGTTGGTAATTACCAACAAACTTAGCATTATGTATAGCCAGTCATTGCACACAAAGATGTCAGGACATGAAAATCCTGCAGGCATCAACAAGACAGATGTGGACTATACATAAGATTATTGAAAGATAAAATCCAGAGGAACACCAGTACACATTCCCTGACTCACTAAGGATATACAAAACCATGTTAAAAATTCTCGGCAGTGAAGAGAAGTGAAGAAGCAACCAGCCAGGCAACAAGAGGTTAACCATGAACCAGCACCAACACCCAGCACACACCAAGGACAACCCTTCACTCTAGACAATTTTCAGAAATTTCTAAGAAGCAAGTATGGGTGAACGATAATCACAGAAACATCGTTCACACACTTCAAGGGGCAGTTAAATGGCTTCATACAAAAATAAATAATGACAAAAAGGCGTGACATAGGCGAAAAGGCAACGCTTTCTAGTGGGCTCAAAAAATGGAGGAAAAACGTGAGAGGTCTACAACGTAAATTGTATGTTATGACCCTGGCAAGTTGTCGCGTCCTCACCTTCCTCGACAAAATAAACTACGCAGTATGAACTATGTAGATACTACATACACAACCCATCACTAATATCCCTAAACACGCATCTCAATACTAATAAAACAACACATAAATATTATATATATATATATATATATATATATATATATATATATATATATATATATATTATATATATATATATATATATATATATATATATATGTCGTGCCGAATAGGCAGAACTTGCGATCTTGGCTTAAATAGCAACGCTCATCTTGCCGTATAGGACAAGCAAAAATTTGTGTATGCAATAATTTCTCCAAAATCATTCTGAACCTAACGAAAAAAATATATTTCACTGTGTTTGTTTAGTATTAAATTATTGTAAACAAATTTAAAATATATTTAGTTGGGTTAGGCTAAAATAAATTGTTCTTGTTATAATAAGGTTAGGTAAGTTTTCTAAGTTCCTTTTGGTGCAAAATTAAAATTTTTTACATTAACATTAATGAAAAAAATATATCTTTAAACGTATAAGAGAAAATTTTAGAAAGGAATTAATTTTAAATGAGTTCTTGCTAATTGACCAGTTTTACATATTCGGCACGACATATATATATATATATATATTATATATATATATATATATTATATATATATATTATATATATATATATATATATATTATTTATATATATATATGTATATATATATATATATATATATATATTATATATATATATATATATTATATATATTATATACATTGTATATATATATATATATATATATATTATATATATATATATATATATATACATTATATATGTCGTGCCGAATGTGTAAAACTGGTCAATTAGCAAGAATTCATTTAAAATTAAGTCCTTTCTGAAATTTTCTTTTATGCGTTTAAAGATATATTTTTTTCATTAATGTTATTGTAAAAAAAAATTAATTTTGCTCCAAAAGAATCTTAGAAAACTTACCTAACCTTATTATAACAAGAACAATTTATTTTAGCCTAACCCAACTAAATATATTTTAGATTTGTTTACAATAATTTAATACTAAACAAACACAGTGAAATGTATTTTTTTCGTTAGGTTCAGAATAATTTTGGCGAAATTATTGCATACACAAATTTTCGCTTGTCCTATATGGCAAGATGATCGTTGCTATTTAAGCCAAGATCGCAAGTTCTGCCTATTCGGCACGATATATATATATATATATAGATAGATAGATAGATAGATAGATATGTGTGTGTGTGTGTGCGTGTTCTCATTTAATCTTGACACATGTCTGTCTTGTTTATTCTCCTTCAATAATATTATCAAGGTTAACAATGAAATATCTGCTTAATAGAAAATTGTATAAGTTTGTAGGTCACATTCCAGGTATCTCACACACGTACGATAGTGCTATATAAATGTTTCAAAAAACCGACAAGTTGATGATTGAGACACTTGTGGAGCACTTAGGTAATTTACTGTAGAAACATTTCTTCAGCCAGCGGCTTCCTCAGTCTAACACAGAGATGAATGGTGGAAGATGCGGAGGAGTTTTGAGATAATCGTCCCTCAGCCTGGAGTCAGTATGACCAGCCCATCAATCTTGACAAAAGTAAAGTATCTTTTTTTTAATTCTTGTTTTTATTTTTTAGACAGTATGTGCCAAAGCTAGGTTAAGGATCCCTAACTTTAGTGACAAGATAACGATTCCTAACTTTATTGATAAGCTAAGAGCTGTTACCTACATTACATCATTTGAAAGCATTTTTATTGTTGTGAAACATACAAGTAGGGAACAGGATGAAGTTGGAGCCATCTGCGGAGAAGGGGTCTTATATATTGCATTCAGATTGCCGCTAGGCGAAGCAGTCATAGGCGGCGACACTTTGAAAACTTACACATGTGGAATTAGGTCCTGCCTAGAGGTTTGGCAAGCACTGAATTCCCTGCATTAAGACCCCAAGATGCTGCTTGGACAGAAATTGTTATATAAATGCTTCAGAAAACTGACAAGTTGTGATACATAAGTGCAATACTTGTGTATCGCAGACACACCAATATCTTGGGATCTTGATACAGGGAATTCTACGCTTACCTAACCTTCAGGCATGAATAGCAACGCTCTTCTTGCCGAATAAGGCAATTTGTGCAACATTTGTGGAACATTTGGGTATCTTTATTCTAGAATAAAGATACTCAAATGTTGCACAAGTGTCTCATTTATCAACATGTCGGTTTTTTGAAGCCATTCATTTAAAGTTTGACTTCTTGGCTCTACAGTAACAAGAATAGTAACGTATCCTTTTTTGTATTGAAATGTATAGTGTTGCTATTTTCTTGGTCTTTGCTATTTTCTTGGTCTAAGTAATAACCTGCACAGTATAAGTACACGTAGAAATAAATACAGAGACTAGACTTGTATTAAACTGATCAGAATAGTTAATGAAAAACAGGAAATGGCTTAACGTGCAAGTTTATCGCGATTTCCTCTGATTATAAATTAATCCATGACGAGTAACCTACTAGTTTTTTCACATTCTAGCTCAGATTTGATGCCAAAAGGTACGTCATTTATTTTTCCAAGAAGGAATTAAACAGTTAACTTTCTTCTTTCCAGAGTTAAAAGGTATATCTGTGCCATGCTATATTCAGAGGCTTCAGTCTTGGCAATAAATTGCTATTAAAATATTCCATATGAGGGTAAGCGAGTGATGGCTAAGCAAACTGTAATTACTTTCTTTGGAAAAAAAAGTAATCATCACATACACAAATAAACTAGTAACGTGGAAGGAGCCCAGACACTGCACTGGGACTTTGTAAACACCAACTCTTGCACAATATTCTGTATCTCAAGGTACTTTATTTTGTTAACCGGGAAGAGTAAACTGCTACTTCAAATATCTACTGTAGTTCGCACAAGAATCATCCTCTACTTGATATGATCGGTTTAAACAAAATATTTTGTGAGGCTTTTGAGAGGATGTATCTTCGAGTTTTTGGATTTCCATTTCATTAAAATCATTACTGTTGCTGCTGATTCAGAGATAACAGCAGTTAATGCTGATGCAAGAGAAGCTGCAGCTGCTATTTTTCCTATTATCATTTCACGGCTGTTATTTGTGTCAAACAGCATAACAATTATGGGAACCGAGGAGACCAATTTTTTTGGGGGAGGAAAGTAATCCCAGACCGGCCGCTTTGAATATAACTTTGAGGTGGGTTGTGCTGGTCGTTGAAAAACTGCCCATCTTGATACAGTGTTTATCATTGACGTCTTAACGTACACTAGATACATGTCATCTAGCACACTAGCTACGTCTGATTTTTTTATTTATACACAAGAGGAGCACTAGACACTTAGGGGCCATACAGCGAACTGGGAAAGGCAGGCAACAAGATTCGATCCAAAGAAAGGGAGAGTAACTCCAGTTCTTTGAGGTACTGAACACGTACTTTCTTTGAGGGAAAGTATGTATACAGTACCTCTGCGATAATTGACATTATACACCCGGTGTGTGAACACAGTTTGCATTTATAACCCTCTGTTACGTCAGTGTTTCTTCACTCAGGCAAGACTTTTCACTGTCTTGTCAGGGTCATTTCCTAGCCAGCCATCTATTTGCGGTGGGGTCGAAAAATATAATAGCGTAACCCAACTGAACTTCTTCCTTCGGCCCAGGAGCTTTAGTAGTAGATATGTTCTTCCCTCCCCTCAAGGCGACATCTATGGACTCAAACTGATTTGTAACAATCAACTGTCGATGAATGAACGAATGGTGGACGTGGGGCTCGAACCGCGGTCCGCAAATTGACAACCGACGCTCTACCATATTTTAGAAAGGACTTAATTTTAAATAAGTTCATGCTAATTGACCAGGTTTACCTATTCAGCACGAATATATATATAAAGCTCGAAACAGCAGTGAATGCTGCTTGAACAGACAGTTTTCTCGCGTGTAACTCTGGGGGAGGCGCACCATAGGTCCCTCAGCCCTGATTCTAGAATGTAATATGTCTTGTTATATGCTGACATAACTACTAAAAGCACGAGGTGAATACTAATACCACACACCATATCAGCAGAGTAATACACAGTGGTGTATTATACAGTTGAGAAACTTAGCCCGAGGTAAGTCCTCACAGGACTAACAAAAGAAACTTACACAGAGGAAGATGCAATACAGTCACCCTGACGGTTGCAACCATCTTACATCCTTCTCACCATAAATACATTGTTACAAAATATAAATAACTTTATTATGAAACAAAAGAAGTATAGTTTTATAGTGAATATGACAGTGTAGTCTGCAAACCATGTTACTGGTTATATGGACCACCATGCAATTATTACAATAGTCTATACTTCAGGGGGTTTAGTGCCATAAGTCATTGGTTCAAGCAGTTTTGTGTAGCACCAATCAATGATTCATAGGGTTTACTGCCAGCATGCAATTGCTACACCAATCCGCGGTTCAGAGTGCCACAGTGCGATTACTAAATTACTTCGTACTGGGGATTTCACAGTTGCTGTAACTGGTTGATGAGTATAACATGTGCGACAGTTGGGTATCTGTATTGTTGAAACGTTTTCCCTACGGGACAGGCTTCTTCAGTCAGATACAGAGGATGGACTGTAGGTAACAGGAGCAGTGGCGAGGTAAAGTTGATATAATCAGTCCATCAACCTTGGATAAGTAGTTTGAGGTGGTCAGTCCCTCAGCCTGGAGAAGACTTCAGCTCCATTATCTGGAACAATATGCTCCAGACCATGGAGCTGAAGTCTTCTCCAGGCTGAGGGACTGACCACCTCAGACTACAATAGAGATACCCAACTGTGGCACATGTGTCATACTCATCAACTTGTCAGTATTTTATACCATTGTCAACAAGCTGCAACAAGCCTGACGCATTTTAAACAGTATAATTTTGATATTTATCAAATGAGAGGTAATTTTTAAGATTCTTCGTTCTGCTTAAAAAGAAAGGAACACTTTTCTGTGTTTAAAGAAAGTAAAACAGAATCACAACTGTTACCCACGAATTTCTAATAACACGATTGCAAACAAATCGTTTAAAGAGCGGGGATTGAACCCACTGCAGTTGATACCTGAAACTTGCAGGACAGTGAGTTAACCATTTAACCACGCCAGCATGGACCAGTGGTTAACACACTGGCCTCCAAGTTTTAGGACTCTCGTGCCATGGGTTCGATACCCACCCATTCTGTGATTTCATTCAATATTGTTGCCATCAGAAAAAATGTGTAAATTAGTACAACCTGTGACCTCTAGCATTAATTTATATACATTTCCAAATTATGCACTTGATCTGCGGTTCTGGGCAGATCTCGCAGATAGAATTTGTTTAAAAACCAAAACACTAAACCAGCAACTTGGTCAGCACGAAACATGTTGACTTCATAAATCTAGAGAAGCAATCAGCGTCCCACGAACAAGGGAGCACATGTCGTTGTTAGATAAAAGACCACATATGGAACGAGACATTACGTCTCGCTCTCGATCAGCTTCATCGAGCCAATACAAACAATACACAGAAGGTATATGAAGGGAACATAGGCACTGCAGTAGCTCTATAATCCCGTACTGGGAGTATTATTGTTATTAGAAGTTGCTTCTTGTCATGTGGTGAAAAGCTTTATCATTTTGAGAAAGATTCGTTCTATTTTTTCAGAGATGACGAGGTTACTCTCGTTTTGCATAACTGTGTCGTCTAAAAAATAGATTGATGATGCTTCAAGGCATTTTCATCTGCTGGTATCCGGTTTGTAAAACACTTTGTGGGCGTCTTTCCATCTCATCAAGTGAATGGTGGTGTTACAGTGTTGTACACTTGTGTTCAAGTTGTTACAGCTGAATGAGTAGATGTGTTCGTGCAGATGTGACATCTTAGAATAATTCTTGTATATAACTGTGGTGTGCGCTGAGTATGTTTCATTCTATTCGTCATTCGTTACACAACCATTTGACGCGCCCTCTCGACTAATGAACTGGCAGTTTAGTAGTAGCAGTTCTGGGGCCCCACTGCTGCGCTTATTGTCCAGTTCAACCAATCTCGTGGAAGCCGACTACTTCAGCCAAGGCGACGTTACTTCAGTTCACCTGGCTGAGTGGCAGACTTCCACAGACACTGGTCGTGACCACTCCTGCTCCGAGTGCCTCTTGATTGCCCCATTTCACTCTATCATATTATTACAACCCAGGAGTCCCAATGGCCTGTTATCCTGGATGTAAAGGGAGCAAAATAAACACAGCAGACCAACTTTTGACTTATATTATCCTTCACCAATTTAGAACAGAAGTATGTACACTATATACACTATGTACAGTGATAGGTATTAGTGCACTCCACGGTAAGCAAGGCAGAATAGAAGCCACTAGAGAGCAGACCGTGCTTCAACCAGCTCTAGAATGGGAATGACAAGGGCAGACAGGAGAGTGGTACCCACATCACCTCTGCGATTGCCAAAACCATCTTCTCATTGGCTGGAACCTGGGTACTGATTGAACGACGGGGCCCCATCGTCAACCCTTAGCCCCTGGTTCGCTGGTTGGGGGAGATAGCCTGTAAATGAAGGTGTGTACATACTCCGAATAAAGGTTACGTACTCTTTGCATGCCACACTTATCTATTCATTAATATTGTACACAGTGTAAATATTGGTGACGGAATAAACGGGTAAAGAAATCTACCCGATGTTGTGTTTGCCTTGCACTTCCTCTGCCCTGCTGAGTGTCTTGTTTTGCTGACTTAGTTATGACCAGGTGCTACAGACCTTTAAACTATCACATGTGTTCGTAATTACAACATTGCTGATAATTCCATGAGAATCATCAGTATTTAAAAAAAAAAATCCCCTCAAGGGAGGTGGAACGCCGGTGAGAGGCTCTTGATCTAGGGAATCGGATCTGTGCTCCAGTTCCCGGAATTAAGCCTGAGTACCTTCCACCCCTTCCCCCCAGGCGCTGTGTAATCTTACGAGTTTAGCGCTCCCCCATGATTATAATTCTAATAATTAAAAAAATCACAACAATATCAGAAGTAAAGTAGACATTGCAAATACAATTAACATTATCAGAAGAAGAAAATAAACAAAACTTTATTAAAAAAAAAGGCCAGTTGATAGAGCATGTAGTTGGTGGTAAAAAGGCCCGATTAGTTACTCATCAACATTTACGACGATATACTAAAAATAAACATATAAAACATTTATTATTATTATAATCACAGCTAAGCGCTAAACCCATAAGGATCACACAGCGCTGCATCAAAGATGCAGAAAAGTATAATTGCACATTAGTCCTAGATCATATAATGAATCCGCAGCGAACATGTTTATTGGTGGAATAACTGTCTTGATGTGTTGTTTCTTCAGGTCTGTGTGATGACTGTGTACGAGAGTGTCATTATGGTGATTACCGCATCTGCACGTACCAGTTCCACGTACAGGAGTACCACACATTGAGTCGTGCCTGCTACCAGTGTCCAGACAATGCGGCAGACTGTTACCGTCAGGACTGTATACCTGCTGACGGTGTGGCAAGGCCTTTACTGGCCGTCAACCGTCAGCTTCCCGGCCCGGCTATACAGGTAAGCTAAAGCTACCTGTAATTTCCTGGTTCAGGCATACAGGTAAGCTTCAACTACCTGTAGGCTCCTACCACCACTGTCATTCTCACTAGTACAATTATCTTTCATATCTCACCGCACACTGATCTCTTTTCCAATCCCATGTCGTCTCCACTAACAAAGGTGAGATTGTGTCGTGTGCAGACGTTGTTGTCCACGAGTTACCTAACAGATATTATCACTTCTTGGACATTTTTCAATGTATGTACTGTTGATCAGGTGTGTGAGGGAGACCGGGTGGTAGTGGATGTGTTCAATGATCAGCTGTCAGACACAGAGACCATCCACTGGCATGGTCATCACATGCGACGCTTCCAGTACTACGACGGTGTTCCATTCATCACACAGTGCCCCATCCAGAAGTTCTTCCGCTATGACTTCCTCGCTACCACACCTGGCACCCACTGGTGGCACTCTCATACCGGTGAGTGATGGTAAAGATCTACTTTCAACGTACATAGTATCAGGAACTGCTAAAATCAACACTAAGAACCAATTCCCTGAATGAAACATATTTCTCTCCCTCCCGACCAGGAGTTCACCGCGCTGAGGGAGTGTTTGGTGCCTTTGTGGTACGCCAGACACAGGACCTTTATCTTGATACCTACGATGTTGACAGTCCTGATCATGTCCTCGTCCTCCAGGATTGGCTCCACAAGTCAGCTCTGGAAAAATTCTCTGGGCGTCACCACCACACTCAAGACGACTTTGCTAGCGCCATCCTCATCAACGGCAAGGGCAGGAACTACACTAACATGGTAAACCATTCAAATTTTTTTTCAGCTAAAAATAGCAAAATCACTATTCACAAAGACTTAAACCAAAGATAATTACGTTGTATCACAGCCTCTAAAAGTAGAATGAGTGGGATTGAACGATGCATCCAAACTCTGTTGTTAATGTTGTGTCTAGGGACACTTCCTTCTCTGATCATTACAGGTGAAATTTTCATGTTACCTGGTGCGATGATACTGTGCTCAGGTCTTTATTAATAAGAATTTTCCAAATACTTTATTTTTTTGAGGGACTTTTTAATATTGACCAAATTACAACTAGGATAAACCATTTTAGTGGAATAACTGTCAAAAAAGAGCCCTTGAATATACCTGAGGTTCAGGTCATCTATGAAGCATCAAATGAATAATATTGTATTTCTAGTTTCTCCTTCGTAAATGTATATAACGGTGCCTTTAATACAGCCATGTCACAGAAATGATGAGTGTAAAAAATCCTAGAAAAGCCTTCATGGTTGAATGGTCGGAGTTCTGGCACTGCTGCTCGCATGGGCCACGGTTCGAGTCTTAGTCCTTTCTTCTATTTATTTATTGACAGTTGTTCATTATGACTTATCTTGGGTTTATATTATGTATATGGCTTTAAGGGGCATAAGAATAGTTGTGCCAGCATCTAGCATCCTCATCCAGAACCCTTGTGAGGTGTGCTGGATGAGGCAGTAGGACAGGGGTCGGCGAACTTTCTTGGGTATGACCCCAAAACAAATTTGTGTATAGCGAAATTACCCACTAGACTTGAAAGTCCACAGAATCCGGAAAAACACAAGGAACGTTCAAATTCAAAATAGTTTATTGAATCCATTTATATGGAGAACAGTCATACAAACTGAAAAGTATGCATTAATCGCGATAAAAACAACTTTACAAATAAAACACAAAATTAACAAAATAATAAAATGAAAAATATACAGCATGAAATAAAAAATAGTAACAGACAAATTTAATAAAATCTCATTAAGGAACTAAAGAATTTCATTGAAAACATTTTCACTTCAGGTTTTGGAGCAATGATGATGTTTCATTTTTGATACATCATCAGAATTAGGGCTTTTTGATGTCAGAGTAATTTGGATACTGTCTTCGGCGTTCAGCCGATTTCTGGACTTTGTTTTCAAGTTAATGAGAGTGGAAAATCCTTGTACACAAAGATAGGTAGTTACAAATGGCAACAGTATTTTATTGCTTCCTCGTGTGCAATTTTGAAAGCCTTTGCAGCTCTTGATATCCAAAAACTGGACAGGTCTGCATTATTCTGAAATTCAGTGCATGCTTCATTGTTGGAGGGCAGTTCAAGATGTGCCTCTGCCAATCCTTCAGGCTCTTCTGGTACATCAGCAATTTCACACTTGAAGGGATTCAGAACCCAACTCACAGTAAGTGTATCAAGATCTGGAAATTAATCAGAGAACTGCTTTCTGAGTTTGGTAAGATGCCCTATAACTACAAGCAGAGATAATATTGATAGCGAGATAGTACACTAGGCCAAAAGTTAGGTGATGGTGTGTCAATAATGGGGCGTGCGGTTGTCGTGCCAGCTCCCGAGCCACTGCTAACACTCGCGGTGTTGCCAACCTCAACGAGCAGTACAAGTATCAAACCAATTACGGAAACAAGTGGGTGAGACTGGCTGAGGTTCGAACCCAGGCATCTCGCGCACCACGAGACCACGCAACCCATAAGCCTGACGCTTGAAAGTAACATATTGAGTAAACCACAAAGACAGATTTGAGTCCAGACACAATTGTACGGAATCCCAAGAAAGAAGCCAACGAATCTTATAACTCTGTTCCTCTGCAGGTAGACGGATTTGTGGAGACGAAGACGCCGCTGGAGGTGGTGATGGTGACGCCAAAACTGCGTCACCGTCTGCGTCTCATCAACGCTGGGAGCCTCAACTGTCCCTTGGTCGTCTCCGTCGACAATCACACACTCACCATCATCGCTACTGATGGAGAGAAGATCGTCCCCTTCACTACTAACTCTCTTGTTATTTATTCAGGTTAGTGTCAGTACTAAAGAAAATTATTTATCTGCAAAGACAGTGAAGTGTATGAATTTTCCTCATGGAAAAAATCATTACTTAGCAGAATTTTTTCTCTGGATGTACGCGTATTATCTATTCTTATCTTCAAATATTGGGTGCAAAATTTTGGGATACTCGTTTAGTGAATAAGTAACCACATGGCATAATTTTAGCATCGTTAAACTGATGTTATTTGGATGTTATTTTTAGACCTTAAGAATACATTTAACGTCACCATAGGCAGAATGGCTATATATGAAGTACCTTCATTGTTTCAGGTGAGAGATTCGACGTGGTGCTGAAGGCCGACCAGCCAGTCGGCAACTACTGGATCAGGGTGAACGGCCTCATCGACTGCGAGTACGTAATCTTTTGAGAAAAAGAAGAGTTGGGAGAGATGAGAAAGAAAAGTTAGGAGAGAGAAGGAAGGTATAGAAGGATACAGGGAAAAGACAAAATAAGAGGCGGTAACTGAAAAATCAGATGGATTATACGAATATTAGTTTAGCGTAATTGTCACAAAAATAATTCACATTTTTTTGTGGTAAAATGGCATTGTATACTGCAGATGTTTGATGTCTAAATGAAACCTAATGATCTGACTGAATCTGAGGTGCAACTTTATATTGTTTCCTTGTTCAGGGCCTTTAAATGATTTTTTTTTTCTGAAGGCAGAACAAATGTGTACAGGGGGCGGTGCTGAGGTACGACGGTGCCCCTGACAACCTTCCTTCAGCGCAACTTTCATTCGACTCAAACTACCCACCAGGAGTCGTGAGTGTTGCTTCAGTGTTGGTCTTCAACAAATAATCTTTCATACAATCACTGTAGTTAAGGAATTCACGATGTTTATTTTAGCAAATTAACTTTGCTATATAGACATTTCATCTTTGAAAGCCTGATTATTTGGAGATCTGATTTTGCACCAGATATTTAATTAATTTGGCCATAATTTTGTCTTATCTAAGTTTTCTATAATTCTAATGTATATTTTTTATGTAAGTAGTATTCTTATCCCAGGTAAATAACTCTCATACTACTATACTCACAGGTAGTAAATCCTCTCAACTCTGGAGGAGCCTCTGAGGAGGAGGTGACCTTGGTTGAACTTGATGCTTTCAAACCCAGCATCTTAAAGGAGAAGGTTGATAAGCAATTCTTCCTCGCTTTCAATTTCAACCGGATCAACAACTCCTTGTTGTACCACTCTGGCCTCTACCCCTACAATGGAGGTATGCGATGGAACTAATCAGTTTATTCATGTTTGTATATCACAAACACTACTGTTTACCGTCATCTCTTATGTGGAAGAAATAATTATCATAGCTTTTATAAGCGCACAAAATCAAAGTAAAAGTAATGTCACTGGTCCCCAAGTGTAAAAATTCTACGAAGAAAATATTAAAATTGTTTTCACTTTATAAGTTGGATAGTCTTATTCTCTATTGTATTAATCTATTTCATCTACATTACCATACCATTGTATTTAACAGTAATGAAGATTCTTACTCTCTACAAATCTACATTGCCATACCATTGTATTTAACAGTAACGAAGGAGTGGCACATCAACTCACCTCAGGTGAACAATCTATCCTTCAAGGCTCCGTTGTCGCCTCCTCTCTCACAGCCGATGGTCCAGCAGCCTTTCTGTTACTATGGCGAGGTCAGTCCGTTACTCTCAACTCCTGCATGTATAGTCAGTTTTGGTGTATTATTTAAAAAATGTACAGCCAATATCTCAGTGTACAAGATATCATGGTCGATTTTTTAAGGTAGTTCGGTGTGTCTGGACGATTCTATTTATTAAGATCAACTTGAACATATCGGGTAAGGTTCCTCAGGAAACAGGACAAATGTTTACTGACGCAGGTGTTAGTCAAATGATGACCCGCAGCTGCAGCTTTTGGTCATCTGACCGAGGATATCCGCTGGCTTACCGGTCCACCCGTGTAAGATAAGATAAGATAAGATAAGATTTCGTTCGGATTTTTAACCCCGGAGGGTTAGCCACCCAGGATAACCCAAGAAAGTCAGTGCGTCATCGAGGACTGTCTAACTTATTTCCATTGGGGTCCTTAATCTTGTCCCCCAGGATGCGACCCACACCAGTCGACTAACACCCAGGTACCTATTTGCTGCTAGGTGAACAGGACAATAGGTGTAAGGAAACGTGTCGAAATGTTTCCACCCGCCGGGAATGGAACCTGGGCCCTCCGTGTGTGAAGCGGGAGCTTTACCCACCAGGCCACCGGGCCACTAAAAAATCATCGTTATTATTATAACCATTAGATCATTTTAGAAAACGATGGCTATATTGAAGGAACCTTTTTTTTTATTATTCGCCAGTGCTCTCTCGGCCCGGGTCTTTTAACCGTCCCCTTTTCTGCTTCATAACAAATTACTTCTCATTCCCCAAGACGTGGATAATTCAGTGCTTTCTTTAAATCTAACGATCATACACTCACTAATCCTTAACTAGAATTTTAATGAAATTATTGAAATTTTCCTTTTCTGTTACTTTTTTTTTTTTTTTTTTTTTTATTCGCCGGTATTCTCCCGGCCCGGGTCTTTTCCAAGTAGTGGTGACCCGGCCTTGGCTCCCTATCTGGGGAGTGTCTCGAGACTTAAGTCTCCCATGGGAGGAGGTACAAGTACCCCCTCATCTTTGGGACCAACTGTCCCCAGGCCTAGCCACATTCCCCGCCCTCACGGGGCTCGTAGGGAGAAGCTAGGCCTCTGGTCTGCCATCTGCCCCGCCCCAAAGGGGCTCGTGGGGATAGCAGTCTTTTTTTCAGTTACTGTACTTAGCCTTCAAGATAGAAAAATCTCAGTTTTGTGTGGACGACCTCAGAAGCTTCATGTTCGGTCTCTCAAAAGTATTATAATCCCTTTGTGATTATTGTTTGTTTAAAAACATTACAAAAAATATTAATAATTGGTACAGTACAGGCATACAACTAGTATCATTTATACAAATTATTGTCGTAATAGGTAAATATATGATTTACACTAACCCACAATCTGGATTGTTGCGACGTATTTTCTTCAAGTAAATACACGAGTTTACCCTCTAGTAAATGCATTTCAGAGAACTGTGAAATCTTCAACAGGAGAAACTCTGTTATTGTATTCATATACGTAGTAAGTAAGGTAGTAAGTTTACTTAGGTACTTGTACACATAAGTGCAGTTACACAAATTTAAGTGATTACAGATATCATAGAAACACATGTGTAACTTATCTAGGATAAGCCAGAAAAATCAAAAGTGGCTTATTTACATAGCTTATTCTGCTCAATGAACATCAGTATTACTGAAAGAGACCTTCTAGGGTAGGGTAGGTGTCTGAGCCCGAGCCTTTAGCTCATAAGACTGTCATTCCCATTTGTCCCCTTGGGGCGGGGATGGCAGACCAGAGAGGCCTAACTTGTGGCTAGGCCTGGGGACAGTTGGTCCCAAAGATGAGGAGGTACTTGTGCCTCCTCCCATGGGAGACTTAGGTCTCAGACACTCCCTAAAGAGGGAGCCAAGGCCGGGCCACCACTTGGAAAAGGCCCGGGCCGGGAGAATACCGGCGAATCTTTAATAATAATAATAAATTTCTTATGACAGTATATTTCCACATGTGTTCCCTCTTAGTATATTTTATTCACATGTGTTTCTTCTCAGTATATTTAATTTACATGTGTTTTCTCTTCGTATATTTTATTTATGTGTTTCGCGTAAGCTTACAATACATTATTTCACAATATATTGGCTGGAACAAGTCACAAGCACATAAAATAAAAATAGAACTTGGACGATATTTCGGCTGATCTTCGGCGATTATCAGTTCGTTAGCGAGATAAATGCAGATGAGATGACTAAGTGAACCCGAATCCTGGAGAGTAAAGCATTTTTACAATGTACTGGAAGAGACAAACATCTACGCAAACGAGACCAAGACAAAAGTCCATGTTAGGGATTTATATATAATGAGAGGATATATAAAACTGCATCTCTGAAGGCTAGACGAAGGAAAAATATTTTGAGTGAATGACTAAGCTCATTGTCTGATTGTCCCGAACATGACAGAAAAGAGAGGTGTTAATTTCAGCTTCTATTAATTATTTTAATTTAATCTAAAAGTGTTAGTTTATTTAGGTACAGGTACACGTAAGTACAATTATCATACACAGTGACTTATTTCTACTGGGGTCTTCGACCGGCTAGTTTTAACAAGGTATTAAGAAGGGAAGGAGGAGCAGGATATACAGTAAGTGCCTGAACTATTTGTAACATAAGCATGTTCCAAATTCCTTCGAGGAAATGCATGTTAAGTATCTAAAGAGCGAAAGGTGCAATTAACATTGTGTGAACTTGAAGCACGGAGTGAAAAGTTTTGGTACCATCACTGGAGAAGTGGATAAAGGTGAAAATAGTCATTTTAGCGTGAGAGTTGGCTGAATATATTTATAAAAATTTATAATAATGAAATCGCGGATCACAGATGCCTGAGGGATGAATGGAGATATACAAAAACACTTTTCTCAGCAGATTGTGTATGGTAGAGAAACAATAAAGTACACATAACTCTCAATAGGGCTGGGGTAATTAGAAAAAGAAAAGGCAATTTCAGGCTGGTACGTTTAAACGTCAAGGAAACGAGTAGGAGTCCCATTCAGCTTTAAAACTAATGAAAAGGGAGAACAAGATAAAGAATAAAGTCACAATATCGTGGCTGGAACAGTTCATGAATAACCCACATTTAGGAGAGGACCCTTATGACGACGTTTCGGTCCGTTCTGGACCATTATTAATGATTCAAGAAAGACCGAAACGTCGTCCTGTGTGTCTTTCTCCTATGTACGGGTTGTTTGTGTATTGTTGCAATCACGGTATTATGCTTTTTTATTCTTTAAGGGAAAGTAAGATTGTTAAGGTACATGACTGAGAGTAGACTAAGCCTTGCCTTCTTTTCTGTAGATGCTTGATGCTGCCTTTCCCATTATTCCTGATCAAATGTTCTGAACACACGTAAATTGACCTGACTTCGACATCTCATCTACCTTAATTCACTTTAGATTTTTGTTTTGTTCCCCTGTACTCTCTATTTGATAGTGAACGAGGATGAATGTACCAGGACACGTAATTCTTACTTTTTCTCCCCTCCCTCCTCCCTTTTTATACAGTTTGAAACCAATTATAATTGGTGGGATAAAACAGGAAAACAAAGATTGTTTTTGGTCCCACCATGTGATTCATTACACACTCTAAGTGTACCTAATTTCGTGTTTATAATAATAGGTACTCAAATTACTGGACTTTGTTGCTACTATCCCCACTTACGATGCTACCCAGTAACGCGTTTTAAACTTTGATCTATTTAAAACTTGAAAATAATTGGCAATCTTAAATAGTTTAAAACACATTCTATGCCAAGAAGCCTTACTATGTGATAGGGACTACTTCAGCTGTACGTATCCCTAAAGGTGTCTTAAAAAGGAGATACAAATTCATATTTTCTTGTATCATTGTGAGAAATGCAAAACTGGTAGTAGTGTGGGAATTGTGATTCTGATAATTCCTAGATAAAGCTATACCCTTGAAGTAATATTTATGAGAAAGAGTAATGATGGCATATAGCTGACGATGGGAACTGTATGGTAATGAACTTATACCTGGAGGGTGTTCCGGGGGCATTGACCCCCGAAACACCCTCCAGGTATAAGTTTTTAATTACATTAAAAAGGGAGAGAGTATGGAGGAGGTGAATGTATTCAGATATTTGGGAGTGGACGTGTCAGCGGATGGGTCTATGAAAGATGAGGGAATCATAGAATTGATGAGGGGAAAAAATGAGCGGTGTACTGAGTAGTCTGTATGAATGTATGAAAGCATAGTTATACCAATGCTCTTATATGGTGTGAAGCATAGATGGTGAAAGTTGCAATAAGGAGAAGGCGTCGTGGAGACGTCCTGTCTGAGGGCAATGTGTAGTATGAATATATTACAGACAATCCGTAGTTTGGAAATTAGGAGGATGTGTGAGATTACTAAAAGTATTATCCAGAGGGCTGAGGAGGGGTTGCTGAGGCGTTTCGGACATTTAGAGAGGGTGGAACGAAATAGAATGACCTGGAGAGCGTATAAATCTGTAGTGGAAGAAAGGCGGGGTAGGGGTCAGCCTAGGATAGGTTTGAAGGAGAGGGTAAAGGAGGTTTTGTGTGCGAGGGGCTTGGACTTCCAGCAAGCATGCGTGAGCGTGTTAGATAGGAGAGGAGGTAAATGATTTTTAACACTTGACCCCTCAAGGAAGGTTCCTTGATGCTGATGAGGGGCTCTTGATCTAGGGAATTGGATCTGTGCTCCAGTTCCCTGAATTAAGTCGGAATACCTTCCACATCCTCCCCTCCACACACAGGCGCTGTATAATCCTACGGATTTAGCGCTTCCCTCTTGATTATGATAATAATAATTTTTGAACTTGCTGTTGGAGTGTGAGCAAGGTAATATTTATGAAAGGATTCAGGGAAACCAGTTAGCCGGACTTGAGTTCTGGAGATGAGAAGTACATTGCCTGCATTCTGAAGGAGGGGTGTTCATGTTGCAATTTTATAACTATAGTGTGAGTGCACCTCTGTAAAGACAGTGATGGAGCGAATGGCGATGAAAGATTTTCTTTTTCGGGCCACCCTGACTTGGTGGGAAACGGCCGATGTGTTAAAATGAAATTAAAATAAAGTGTAAGCATTAATCTTTGAACTCCCCAGGAGCCACCATGTGATGGGGACTACTGCAGCTGCACCTACGTCTTGGAGGTGGCACTGGGGGAGACGGTGGAGATGGTGTTGGTGGACGAGGGCACCATTGGTGACGAGAATCATCCTTTCCATCTTCACGGCTATAACTTCCACGTTGTTGCCATGGAGCGCCTCGGCAGGTCAGTCACACACTATTGTCACTTCCAGTTACGGGAGTTCCATCTTACCTTTAGTGCCCCTACAAACTACTACTACTACTATAGTAGCGCTACACCTACACCATGACACTCGCCATATTAACTTACGACATTTACAGAGTACATAAGTAACCACAGTAAAACAATGCACAGTACGTATTTCGCATTTGAAAAAAAAAAAACACCACTGTTTACACAATCTTACAACGTAATTACATCGAGTCTCATGTTTAGAACACATTTGGTTCGCCTGTGGTATCCTAACAAGCTACTAACCAACCTCGGGAATGCTTATCACACGAGTATCTATCGATGCAGATTCATTTAAAGAATAAACGGACGCTGTTAAATTAAACTTAAATGATCATAATTTTTAGCTCTACAGAGAAGCTGTCATTTCTTATCACTGAGTTACTTATTCACTTATATTACTTGTAAGTATATAACTCGCACACTTACACTAGTTTCACTGTTCAACTTAAGTATATTACATTCTATTGTCTTACTTGTACACTAAAATTTTCTGTACACTAAAAATTTATTTGAACATATATTTGCTTTATTCTTTTATCACGAATCTTTTTCTAAAAAAAATAAAAGCATTAAAACCACTCTCATAGATCTGTAAACTAGCTAACTGAAATTCTTACAGCACAAAAGTACTTGCCAATTTACAGCTGATCGTTAAACAGCTGTTGCCATTTAAAAACAAGTTAGGCTTGCATTGTTTTGCAGAAAGACAAAGTTTTTTTTTTTTTTATGTTGTATCTAGACAACATTTTTATTATTGGAGAACAGACTAAAGCAAACAAGCTGAAAAATGGATGTGGTTTCTTTTTATTATTTCTTAATGCGAAAATGTCATTTTCTTTGTTTTTCAAGTATACTAGGGTTTCATTTGTGTTGCAGTGAGACAACTGTTGAGGAGGTCAAGGCTCTGGACGCCGCCGGAGGCATTAAGCGTAAGCTGAAGAACCCTGTTAAGAAGGACTCAGTAACCATCCCTGACGGAGGCTACACCATCGTCAGGTTCACTGCTGACAACCCTGGTAAGACCACTGCTGTTCCTTCGATGCTATTGCTGCTGGTGCACTACAAGTGTGACCACTCTTGTTGCTGGTGCACTACAGGTGTGACCACTCATGTTGTTACCTGTGCACTACAAGTGTGACCACTTACCTTGCTGGTGCACTACAGTTGTGATCACTCATGTTGCTGGTGCACTAAAGGTGAGACCACTGCAGAAGTTATAGAATTAGCAACAATATTATTAGTAGTAATAGCAGCAGTAATACAGTAATAGCAATAAGCCCAAAATCTACTTCTTAATTAGGCATCCCCACATGGGGAACCTATAGAGGTTATCTGATAATTTTTATAACATCAGAACGCCTAGTTCGACCGGCTTAACATTGTCAACATTGGTGTTCAGTACCTTTGAGAATGTTCTTGTTGTTATTGTGATATACAGGTGTCCTTTGGTCAGTTCAATGGATTGTGAAGTAATTTTGGTATGATAATTTGGGAAAGACTCCTCTAATTAACTTCAGACTTTCACTAAAGGCGTTTCCTACGAGAAAAATAAATAGGTTTTTGTTAGAGTAGGAACCAGTTTGTCAATGTTATTTATAAAATTGTTTGATAATTTTTCCTGTGAGATCACCTAAGAATGACTCGTCTGAGCGACTTCAAGCTTTATTAGCTAATGTATCTAATTAAAGAAAAGGTTTAATATACTTTTAAGCTAAGTACGTTCAAAAATAACAAAAAATCTATCAGTTAAACAATTATAACTATTGGTTTTCATGCAGTAGAGGAAGAATGATTCTCCTGATGGGCATCAAATTTTCAGCGTTGGCGGCTTTAGCTCAAAGGAAGATTTACATTGTTATTGGGTTGTGTAAGTTTTAATTTGTTAATTTTAGTAAATAAATTGGAAAATTGGTTTCAGTGACGTAACTGGGGAATGACTCTTCTCATCAGCTACATTTCTTAATTGCTTGTGTATCTTACTTTAAAAAAAAGTTGGATGATTTTTTGGGTTGTGTAGGTGCCAACTTACCAATAATATTTATTAAATTCGGGAAATTTATATTTTGTTTTCTATGTGATAACCTGTGAATGTCGCATCCGATAGGCTTCAAACCGTCAATGCGGGGAAAGTTTTAGTTTGTTATTGAACTGTGTATGTGCTAATTTATAAGATTTTATTTTAGTCTGGTGACTCGTAGGAGGCTTCCTGGTACCAGTTTGTGAAAAACCACTAAACATCCCATAGCTTATCAACCCAGCCCGCTCTACCTCCATGCACGCAAGAGGAATAGTGCGGGATGACCATACAATGTTAATGCAGCAAAATATAAGATGTGCGTGTATGCATATGTATGTAGTATGAATGCGCATGTATACTTACTGTGTATTTACGTATGTGTGCGTGTGTGTCTGTATGCATGTGCGTATACATGTCTTTGTATACCTGTGGTGGTGAATACTTGTGCATGTATGCTTGTGGAAATGTATCCCTGTGTAAATATATATTTGTTAGCATAATACATTTGCATATGTATGCTTGTTAATTTGTATGCGTATGCATGTGTGTCTCTATGTACGCTTTCGTATTTATGTTCAAATTTATACGTTTGCATACATATGCTTACGAATTTATTCATGTACATATGTATGCTTGGGGCAATGTATATGATAAAACAAGACTAGAACTGACTTAGTTACCATTGTTCCTGCAGCAACAGAGTTTAGTTACCAAGAAAAGGGATATAAATATGTTACTAAGTCATATTTCTTAGGTGTTTCTTATCCTGAGGTGTTGAGTGAAAGTCTGCAGGAACTGCCCTTGGCTCCAGACACCAAGTGGGTATAGAGAAGGGAAAGAAAACAAATTTGAATGGATATTTATTTTTGCAGGTTGGTGGTTAATGCACTGCCATTTGAGTTTTCACTCTGAGCTCGGCATGGCAGCCGTTCTGCATGTTGGTCAGCCTAGCGACCTGCCCCCGGTGCCTAAAGGTTTTCCAACCTGTGGTGCCTTTACGTAAGGTCACCTGCCCGGAGATGAACTTTCAAGACCTTCCATCCCTTCATGGCAACCTTCGCGTAACTTCGTTTCTTCTCGCCACATCTGGCGAGAAGTTATTCAGAACGATCTGCCAGCAGCGCACTCTGTAATTTGTAATAAATGCTTCACTGATTTATAACATGTAGCCTCTGAAAGCCAGGCCTGCAAGACATGCAGTAGTGCTCCTCCTGTCTCAGTTCATTCAACATGGATCACCTTCTTGTACAGACAACAGAGAATCAATCAACTGCTTATGTTGACACGTTGTCTTCACATTGTCTTCGCTCACCCTTAATTATAATCTCTCCTCGCAGATCCCTCTGTTCTTAGCCATTCTTCTCAAGTACTGTTTTGCCAAACTTACGCAAAAGTTTATGTGGAATCTATTTTTAGAGGCTGTTTATATATTAAAGCTTTTATAACTCACGTATGACTTTTACTCTTCCCTTTATGCTTCATGAAAAATGGATAAAGTGTGTTTTGGACCGCCAGGGTGAGCATGACGGGCGGGATAGAACCCGCAATCTTGTTACGATTTTGTCAGTCATGATGAGCGTTAAATGAACGTAGGTCGTAAAAGAGGAACACTTGGAAATGATGAGTATCTGTATACTCACCCAATTATACTCACCTATGTGTGATTGCGGGAGTCAGACTCAGCTCCTGACACCACCTTCTAGACCATATTAATCGATATTGGTATCTTGATTAGTGTATAGTGTTATTATGCACCTCGTACCCATCCTGTGGGCGACAGTAATTCGTTTAGTGGCACATAATTGATCCCGTGATGGGTCCCCAACATTTGTGTCCGCCAAACAAGTTACATTGGTAAGGTATAGTACTATTTATAAATATATTGACTTCAGCACAGTAGTAAGAAGTTTACAGAGACAGGAATTCAATCACAAATCATTGCAGTATAGTTATATGTGGCCATGAATTATTTATTAAGCTCAGTATTTAACAAGATATTTACGGATAGGTCTTCTGACATTAGTGTCTTGCCTGGAAAACACATGGTTGTCTACCACGCATTATATGTATTGAAACAATCATTTCTGAACTACAGTGTTAGAAACAAGTACCCAATTACAACTCTTCTCTTGGTCCTAGTGTTTAATGAGAATAATAATAGAAGTCAAATTTGTAAGATGATTTGCGATGAACCTTAAATACTAGAACATCATTGATTTTGAACAACAGGACATCGAAAGAACGTGAGTTGTCAATCTGTTTCTGCCCCTTTATTATATATATATATATATATATATATATTATATTATATATATATATATATATGAATATAGAATACATTAATACATATATATGATATATGAAAAAACATTGAATAAATAAAAATTCAATTTGTATATCAATTATAAGTAAAATGTTCCTTATAATTAGTATATAAAGCTTGAATTTCTATATTTTTCACATTTTTTTATATTATATATATTTTATTGATATATTATTGATATATATATATATATATATTATATATATATATATATATATATATATTATATATATATATATATTATATATATATATATTATATATATATATATATATATATAATGTCCTGCCGAATAGGTAAAACTTGCTATTTTGGCTTAAATAGCAATCTCTTCTTGCCGAATAAGGCAAGCGAAAATTTGTGTATGCAATAATTTTGCAAAAATCATTCTGAACCGAACGAAAATAATATATTTCATTGTGTTTGTTTATTATTAAATTATTGTAAATTTATCTAAAATATATTTAATTGGATTAGGTTAAATTAAATTGCGTTTTTATAATAAGGTTAGGTAAGTTTTCTAAGGTTCTTTTGGTACAAAATTATTAAGTTTTACATTAACATAAATGAATAAAATTTAACTTTAAACATATAAGAGAAAGGACTTAATTTTAAATAAGTTCTTGCTAATTGAACAGTTTTTACCTATTCGGTACGACATATATATTCGAAAAATATATTTGCTCTGCTTTTTTTTAGTAAAACAATTGTTGCTTTGTAAGCAAATACTATAACATCTCTTAAAAAGATATGATTCTGATCCTAAAGTACATATATGTTGGCGAAGGGCTCTTGATTTATTAAATTTTAGCTACCCTTTCCTTCTTCGGATCGAAACACAATTGCCTGCCATTCCCCAGGCACTACAGAACCCAGTAACCGTAACGTCATAAGCTAACAACACATGTCAGTTACATGTAAATGAACCTAATAACATATGTCCATAATGTAAATCTGTGACTCTGTCGGAGAAATGAAGTGAAACACATGGTGATAATTTATTAGATATAATTAGAAAAGAAACGATCTGAAGACTTGTGTCAGCCAATGAGAACCGAGTTTGATCGCCAAGTGGTTTGGTGTAGTGTAAATAAATGTGTAGAATCTCTGCCAACAGTCTGCCTTAAATTTAAGATTTAACATTTTAAACAAAGTGCGTAAGTGAAGTTTAATTTATTAAAAATGTTAATTGCAAATCTGAATAAATTTTGAAACCAACAAGAATAAATAAACAATGACATTGAGGCACTGTTAAGTGTTAATAACGGTGCATGAACCTCGTTCACTGTCAGTAAACTAGCTGCGAGTGTGGTAGTGTGCTGATTACTGAGTAGAAAAGTATGAGCATATTAACAGTAACCGACTTACGAAAAGTAGTGAATACTTTATTTTTTAAGTCACTTTCCACCGGAAAGAAACACTGTCAAGCCTCAATGTAAGTAACCAGACATAGTAATTACAGAGAACTGTCAAACACGCTGCCTCTTGTGCAAGAAAGGTATACTATACCGACTAGATGAAAGTTAAGACACGTGTGTCTTAACTTTCATGTATATTATATACATGTATTTATATGTATTTAATATATATGCTTACATGACCTGGAATTTGCTATCTCATATGTCTGCAACACACCGCCATTTTGTTGCAGATAAAACAGACTCGAAGCCGGTGGAATTATTTTCTCAGAGAATTACCAAAGCTGTCCTGCTAGTTTCTGACGCGAAAGCGAGGAAGAGAGGAGAAGGAAACAACAAGATCTCGAGTGGCTGGACAGATTCGGATGCAATAACGACTGAACGCGATCAAAGGTAGCGCTCCACCAGCATCAGTGAGCATCCTGCAAGCAGCTGGAGCGTCACGAAGATTATGCACGTGAATAAAATAAAGGACCAAGGAGGTTTGGCAGGTCATACAAGGACAGTATTAGAGATTATGCATACAAGCTTGGTAACCGAGAACATAAAAGGGGTACCAACTACATCCTTGTGATGGACAATATAAAGTGCTTTGCCAGCCAGTTGCTTCTTCAATCCAATACAGAGTAGAAAGGGAGAAGAGCAGGAGTTTAGGGTAATCAGTCCCTCAGCCTGGAGTCGATGTTACATAAGTGTCTCCAACTTTTTATTTAAGCCTGCTTGATGCCCTGTGTAGCCCTCAATGAAAAGAGAATACAGCTTTTCATTTGAGACTATATTTGGCACGTGAATTACATAGTAACATGATTATATGATTATATTTTAAATACAGTGTGTCCACGAAGTCCTCTTCCAATCTAATTTTCTAGCAATTGGTAACAGATATTTAAATAATTAAAGAAACTATTTTTTGTAAATATTTTTGAAATATTTTCCTTTGCTGCAAGAATTTTTTTCAAGCTAATTGTATTTTTTTGTCTATTGAGGATGTAAGTAAAGAAAAATGTTCTTGTGAAACCTTTTATTTCAGACAATAGTCCATACCACAAAGCAACTCCGTTAAAAACACGTCACTTCACTTTAATGCGTCGAGGAATCAGCAAAACCTGCTTGCTCTTAGAGTTTATATTTAACATTAATCTCACCAATTCATTTTTTTTAAATAGCAGATTTAAATTTAACACAAAGTGACAAATTTAGATAAAAATGTTAACTCAGATGAAAAATAGCCAAGTAAGCTCTAAAAAAATTTTGTGTAGAAAACATTTAACATTAACTTGAAAAAGAAATTTTTCGAGTTAATGTTAAATGTCAAAATATTAGACAGGTTAAAATGAGTTTCACAAAGAGGGTGTCGAAGAGATTTTACCATTAATAATAATCACAGCATATTACCACCATGGGAATGGAAATAATTCAAATGGTCTGCCTATTATTTTTTTTTTTCACTCAACTTCTACGTGAATCACCAGTTCAGTAACACTAGAGAGATTTGTCCTCCTGGAAGACTTGACTTAATGCTTGGTACAGGCAAATCACAGTAGAAAAATCTATTCAAGAATGGTCTCCAAGATGGAGGATTTTAGGGTTAACTATCGTAATTATTTTATTAACATTTTTTTGTGTTTTGCTAAACATAGCTTGATATTTTGTTGATCGCATTATTATACAAATTTAAACTTCATATTCTACAAAATAAATATCTGCATAACCTTAAAACAAAAACATGCAAAAACAGCTTTACTCGTGATATGATTGTGTTTCTCTCCTCTATAGTGAAGTTTTAATTATGCGATTTATATAATAAAATTAGTATAACACACAAGATTTTTAAAGACCCAAATTAGACCAAGGTGAAGTAATCACTAAATTGAAACAAAATATATAAAAAAGTATTCGGAATATATATATATATATATATATATATATATATTATATATATATATATATATATATATATATATATATATATATATATATATATAATTATATATACCGTAAAATCGCTTCAACCTTAGGTACCCTAGCCAATTTTGTCTCCCTTTCAGGAGCAGCTAAACATGCGTTCAGGTGGAAGAAAGTAGCTTCCCATATTTCGTACTTTGGAGTTGGTTACCTGTAATAACATACTCTTGATTTCCTAGAATGACATAGAAACTAGGAGGAATACTTAATATCAATGAAAAGTTATTTTATTCGTTTCATTTACGTAATTGTCTCCAAATTGGTATTTTGTAGGATCTCGTTCAAAAGAAATTCATCAACTTTACAGATTTAAATAATTTTTTCCTGTTATGGGCCTGAAGATATTATTTATAAGAACAGACTTCTCGTGAATCATTTTACTTTAGAGGAATGTTCAACGATGCAACCATGCACAAGCATCTTTCCATCCGCAGGTCACCTGCAACTCTAAAAGCATAATCAGTCTATGTATTTGACCTCCACATCAAAACACACAGGTGCCGTGTTATAAGGCAAATCAAATGTTCACTCACATTCCATAACCTTTTTTTTACCGTTTTTGTCAGTAGCAACCAAGCATTTGGAAAAACAAAATGCTGGAAGTAGCGAGTAAGTTTGAGCGCTGACCATAGCCTAATGAGGTGTTATTCTGGGAATGTACCTCATAGGTGAAGGCTACGTGTTATGATCAAGTACCGTTTATGAATAAAAATGCACACTATAATTAGTCCGAGCTAACACTCAAACTGCACGTCTCTTCTAGTTTCATTAATTAAATTAGAAGTGAAAGCGCATTAGTTTCGGATAACTCTAAATCTTCGTGCCTAGAAAAAAAAAACAAATATATTTTGGGCGAAACTTATTATTTGCATGGAGAAACGATAAACCAAACGAGGTTATAATGCATCTGGGGAACGAAAGGTAATCAGGTTCAATACAATACCTTGGATCAGTGGTTCTTAACTTATTTTGGGTCGCGTCCCCTTTCTCAGTTTCTCATCTCCTTCGTATAAATTTCTCATTGTAAGAATTAATAAAAAGTCCTCTTTATTTAAATAGGAAAATTGAGAACAAGTTTTCATTCTTAACTTTATTATTAACTATTCATAATGGTGTATTTAAGGAGCAAATGGCAAATACCCAACATATTCTTTAGTTTCCCCTGGAATTACTTCCCCCCTTAGTTAAGAACCGCTGCCTTGGATAGAGCCATCACCAGGATCAAGGCACCCTTACCACCCCCCTTGCCCATGAAGGTTATGGGAGAAAAGTCACCGTAACTAAGACTGAATAATGCAAAGCTGATAAGGTTAAATAACGGTACAGAATTCTGTCACAGGTCGCTCTCGAGAATATAAAAGTTTCCCAGGACTAAAATAAGAAAGAGCCCGACTATAAACCCCAACTTAAAACTTCACAAGCGTCCCTTAAGCCTAGCTCAATATACACAAGAACAAATAAACAAGTACCTGATTATCCATTATTGTCCCATTTATACAGTACATTATATACAACCAGATTGTTTTTTTCATGTACAAAATGTCAGTTCGATTCCATATACCCTGATACAAGGTCAAGGTGGCGGAGGTACACTACTCTCGTTAAATAAATAAATCGCCTCGTTATGTCATACCGAGACGAAGTTACGAACTAAGACATGGTCAAGGCCAACTGTCAGGTATTTCACGAACCTGTAGTTAACCTACAGATTAAATTGTAAATATGTGCTGCAATGATACAACTGCAGCTTTTGTTCAAGCAACACTGTCTTCACGGTAGGTTAAGTTTTATTTGTGGGTTTTATTCTTTCCCAATAAGTTGGTTTTGATTTATAATATAAAATCTAGTAACCACTTAATTTCGGTAAATCTGCTATACTTGGGTAGCCAATGTGTTCTCAGATATTATGGTTACTGGTTGAGAGTGGCCAACCGCCATGGAAATGGATTGAACAGTAGTCAAATAGATTCTCAGCCTATCAGCAATAGAGAAAAATTCGTCTCGGAAATTAAATCTAAATTATAAACGTTAAGAATTTACATAAAAAAATTATTAAAATGTATCAATATATGAACCATTAGACTAGCAAATATTCACCGAAATAGTTATTTAATTAAATTTAAAAATATATATCTTTGTCCAAGTCATTTTATATGACAAGGCTTTGCACTAAGGGCAAGATTAAAACTGGATATATTGAGGTACTTGCATTTCTAATCAGTTAACTGGAATGTATAGAAAACCATGAATAAATCCTTCTGGCTCACTTTGGCTGAAGTCACAACCTCAACATTTCAATACTCATTCAGTTTAAAGGTTGAATTATGTGCTCGAGGAAATCAACCTCGGACAACAACCTAAACAGCTCACTGCATTACCATTCCGCATTGGTGCTGTGCAGAGACAGTGTTAATAAAAGCTGCGTTAGTGGCGATCACAAACAGTGAAATACTGGTGTGATTAACTGCATATGCATCCAGTTCTTGTATATTCCATCACTTGGTGGCAGCGAAGGGATTCTAAAAGACCCATAGTGTATATTCATCTTTTAGTTAGTCTTGTTTACAATGATGCAGGGACATGCTACAACAGATTTAATCTACCGAGGCCTCCAGTAGAAGTGTGTTGCAGTTGTAAGAGTCTACCAGTGCCACTTGTTAGTCTCGTTCAGCAAGGGTCATCTACCCTCAGCTAGTAGTTACTGAAGACGTGTCCAGTACTGGGTGTTCATATCGTGGTGTTGGCCTGGAACCGCTACTGGTACTGATACACCAGGAGACAGCAGACCTGGAAATATGAAAATCTTTTAAATCTTATACTAAGAATGGAAAAACATTACCAATAAAGATGCTTTTTAATAAATAACATGTTAGGGTAATCTCATAAACATTCCCAGAATGTTATACTTTATTTTTCCAATTTCCAGTTTCCAAATTACACACCAATTTCCATTTATAATTCGATAGATCTAAAGAAACGGCAGCCTTCCCGTTGCATTATAATTAAAATCATTCAACTTATGAATATGTATAACAAAGAAATTTTAATTTTGACTGTTGATATCTTTCGTAAATATGTTACATTGAAGACATACAATAAAAAAAACACAGGTTTGCAACTGCAGAAGAATGCTAAGCTTACAACTAGAACAATGGAAACTAAGACAATATTATTGCATAATTAACTATAACGAAATTTGTTTTTGTACACTTATTCAAGTAATTGCAGCTACCCTACCTTTCCGTGAGCTAAAATTGAATAGTTTCCATTTACCAGGCGTTGTGTGACTTACGAGTTTAAGTCTCCCCATAATTATAATTTAACCTGAGTGCATAGTTCTTTAATCATTGTAATAAATTCTAAAAGAATTCTCACATCTAGCTTCTCAATTGCCAGTATGCAGATAAATACTTACCAGCCTGGGAGTTTGGTGGTGTGGGCGTGTTGTACTCGTGAGTGTGGGGACTCTGGTGGTGGTGAGAGGCTGGGTGATAGAGCATGGGTGGGCAGGTGGGAGAAGCTCTGGCGTGAGAGTAGAGGGAGTCGTAGGTGGGACGGCTCATGTAGGGGTTGTGGGCGTGTGTGTTGTCCCTGTTGAGGGGCATGCCTCCCACACCCCCTGGGCTGCCAGAGTGGACCACCGTGGCGGCTTGATGCGGCGGCAGGCAGTTAGGGCTGGATGCTACGGAACCCACACTCGAGGTCATCCCGAAACCCCCGCCTCCAGCCATAGACCTAGGTAAGAAAAATAATAAAATATTAAGCTACGTATTGCCATTGTTAAGAGAGAGTTACAGCCGCATCGTGAGACAACTAAGATAGGGCTGGAGTCAATCGACTAACTACAACACTGCTTAGTCAACAAAAATCGTAGTGCTAGAAGACTTGTTTTTAGGTCCTGTCTCTCCCTAGATTTAGCCTGCTACTAAATTACGAGATACTTCGACTACAGCGTTTGTATCATGATTTTTCTTCGTACGCCTTAATTAACGTGATGCATTTATTTGTTGTTAATGTAGTTCACTTTCCACAGCTTGGCTAGTTAATTTTAAATGAAACGCTACTCTGTGTGAAGTAATCGGCAGTGCTGATAATGCTGATTGACAATTGTAGGTGAAGTCACTGGGTAGTTGTGGAAGTGTTACAAGTAGTAATCTGGTGGTGGTAATAGAAGTTCTATAGTTAATATCCATTCATTTATGACAATAATCGTCGTAATACTCAGATCCTCTACTTGGTCCTCTGTGCTTGCGTTTATATAATTACTCCCTGAAACAATTCTTCACTAAAAAAAATCTCAAATTTCCTTACTCTGGAAACTTATTCCACGAAATGTTTCATAGTACATAAGCTTTAAGAGCCCTTAACACACACTTAGCAACTGTACGCAATAATAATATTTACCCTTCTAGGAAGTTTTACGTAGGTAAAAAAGTAGTAACTAACCGTAGGTATTATTAATACAGTTTTAGGACCTAAAATAGGTAGGAGTAGGTTTAATGTAAAATATCAGTTAGAGAACTGGCGACTCAAATTTCAAATGGAGAAACGCTAGCCAGGTCAGTTGCATCTCTAACTCCAACAAGGGAGGACGTGACGCATTAACAGCCACCGGCGTTAAACACTTGGCTGGGTAAGAAGATATCCTTGAGTGGTTTCCCAAATTATAGAGGCTAAATCTATAATTCCTAGCAACATAATCGGCCGACATTGGGGAAAAGTAGGTAGTAATCTGTGGGTGAGTGCAAGCGGTCACTGGATATCGAAATTCGTCTTCACGGTGACCAGAGGGTCAGGGAACATCAAGCTCCTTACCACCAAGTGAGTTAACTCTACGTTTTGTACATTCTCACTTCAGCAGCAGTAATTCGAAATGTGTTTCAAGAACCATTTGTGAACCTAAGAGAATTAACCTGGGGAGTCTGCATCAGCAGCACTAGTAAGTTTGCCGCTCACCCAGGGGCAGTTCCCACACAACTTTCCAAACTGGGAAACCATGTATGTTTAAGGGAGATTACTGTCTTCAAGAGTAACTCGATAAGTTGAACCTGTTCGTAATCTACAGGAAAAAACTCGCACAGTTTTTTTATATTTTATTAAATATTTGTTTACCACTTCTACCTTTTACATATACGGTAAGTATGTATTAAGCTTGGAAGTAAATATATCTACGTTTTATTTTATGCTCAATGTTAAGTATGTAGTGCTTATAATATACATTGTTCATAAATATTTTTGTCTTTGTGTGCAAGTAGTAAATTGAACAGGAACTAAACGTATTTTTTCCTATTTATTTTCACTATTGTTGTATTATATCACGTGACCAGATTTGGCAGATTTGATTGGTTCGTCGTGGGGAATTAGGAAAGCAGTAGCCGTGTTGATGTCTAAAAGATTATTAAATGGGTGGATGGGTAAGCCAGTAGAATGCTTAATATGATGAGTCGCAGCTGGATCAAAAGCTCCAGCTGTGGCTCTTCATATGACTAAGACCCGCGACAGGAAACACTTGTCCTGTTTCCTGACAAATCTTACCTAACCTAGCCTGTGTTGACTCAAAACCTGACTATGTTGCGAGTTAGTGTGTCCGAGGGATCAGAGAAGTGAGATGAACTTGGCACGAGTGTGTGTGTTTAACCGGTCAAAGATTATGTTTTCTACTGAATATTAAGGGTTTTTAATTAATATCTTAAATTTATTAGTTTATCTTATTCCTTAGCTCAAGCACCAATAATACAACGATCCATAAGGGTTTAGATTGTAAATTATATATTACCAATAATGAACTGATAAAAATTTTGATCGTGTGACAATTGGTGGCGGACTCTTTCTCCGTCCCTTTCTGCTTGTCACTTTCGACAACTGATGTGCACAAACCTGTGTACATATACACACCTATGTATGTGTATGTTAACAAACCTGTATGTGATATATATATATATTTTATATATATATATATATATATATATATTATATATATATATATATATATATATATATATATAATATGTATATATATATACACGTATGTAAACCTGTTTGTATATACTCGACTGTGTGCGTAGTCTTACGCATCATTTGTCTGTACAGTAACTGTGTGGATACTTACATATGTGGTTGAGTGTACACACCTGTGGAAACACCTCTCAATGAATGTGTATTTACTAGTAAGTCAAGCAGTGTGGTTTGAAAACATTGGGGCCATTTTTAGGCCCTTCCCCAGGATGCGATCCACAACAAACTATTAACTCCATTTACTGCTATATGACGTGTTAGCAGACTTGGCAATATGTCCCGCTTAGCTCAGGGTTCGACCTTGGTATTTTCCGGATGCGAATCGAGCTACCGCTTGCGCTTCAAGGTTACCGTCATTAGTTTAATATCTTTATCATGTACCCCATACCCATCCTGTAGGAGGTAGTCAAAAGATTACAGAGGTACATAATGGGTCCAGGGACTGGGCCCCAGAGTTTTGATAGTTGATTAATTTACAGCGGAAATGAACTATTTTCATGTTTATATCTGGTTACAATCATAATGCGTCAGAAAAACTACCTAAGTAAATTTACTCTAACCAGGGAGTGGAAAATTTTGACAATTTTCCTGTAATTTGTGTGTAAGAACTGATAAGGATAATACTGTTTATATAACGTTGAGTATGTATCTTTAATGCGATATTTGTAAGGTATTAATCACGAGAATCTATATTATCTACATTTTCCTTATTGTAATCCGTTAAGTAAAATGTAATTGGTGTACTTTAGAAGATACTAAGGAGAATCTATTACACACCTGGAAGTGTCACTAAATCTAAATAAATGTATGTGTAAAAGATCAAATGTTTAGTGGGGAGGAAGCTGGGAATACAACCGATAGAAATATTATCGGCCAAAATTTACAATGACCGAATAAAGGAAGTGAAAGGGTATCTAGAAGTAGCCAGATATATAGTGTAATAGTCATATGGCTGATAATGATTATTTTGGATGCGTGATTGGACGACATGACCACCGCCTTGGAATAATTCGTGTTCACTTATATGTGGTATACAACCACATAAGAGGTATTGTAGGTAGTTATTGGCCAATACTGTGGCCCGTGGTCTGGTGACAAGTGGTCTGGTGACAAAAGCTCTCGCTTCATACAGTGAGTGTCCGGGTTCGATTCCCGGCGAGGGTTGAAACATTGGGCGTGTTTCCTACTCCGGTTGTCTGTTTACCCATCAGTATAAAATGGGTACCTGGGTGTTAGTCGACTTGTGTGGGTCGCATCCTGGGACAAAACTGACCTACTTTGTCCGAAGTGCTCAGCATAACAAGCGGCTTTCTATATAGTAGTATGTCATTGATGTCAGCTAGGCCTGTATGTATACCTTGTACATGTACTTGTAGAACTAAAGATATATATATATATATATATATATATATACGTATATGCAATAAGATCACAGTAAACAGGTGATTTCAGAATATGCAAAACAACCACTCTGAAAGAATAGAGAAATTCCAAGCGCTTTCGTGACTACTCACATTATCAAGGAACTATGAAAGTAAAGCATCCAAGGAAGGTATATAAGGGGGTCTGGCCAACACCTCTCTATCAGATCCCACAACGGTTAAACACCTGACGCGCGCCGGCCCAACTGGACAAGTCCTTTGCACAACCACCAACAAACTATTCTACCCAAGAAAATTTTTAAAATTATTATTTGTCCAGTGTATTATTAAATTCTTCCCAAATTCTATTAATTATAAATGGATCTAATTTATATAAACCAAAGGAAGTATTTATATTATTGTCAAAACTGCTTTTTATGAAACATTCAATTATATTCCTGTCGACCATGGACTTGCTTGATACTACTTTCTCAACTTTTTGAAAATCAATTGGATGGTTAAAATCTCTTACATGAATAAATAGAGCATTGGAATCTTTCAGAGTGGTTGTTTTGCATATATATATATATATATATATATATATAATATATATATATATATATATATATATATTTCGATAGCAAATTAGCGTACCTGGCCTATAGGAGGCATTTGGATATAGACAAGATGCATAAATTTTGTACATAATTCAAATGCATTTGAACCGCTGTAATGCGTTTGATTAATATACAAAATTACTTTAACATCTAAGTCAATAGTCTAGCTAAATAAATTTTTCATATCAAGATAATTTGCTAGATTTATGGCAATATTTTTCTAATAAATTATTCAGAATATATCTTTCATAATATAAGACCGAAATTGAGATGGCGTAAGTTAGACAGTGGCCAGTTTCAAGGAGGAATACAATGTTGAGACCCATTTCATGAAGCCCTAATTTCCGCTACATCCATATAATAAATTTAGATGTTGCCATAAGTTAGTATATCCCAGTTATTGTAATTTTAAGGTAATTCAAGATTGTAATTTGTAACAAAATTCTACCCACATAATCGTGTAATATGCCATATAGTGGCCTTTTTATAATATTCAGGACTATATGTTCATAATTTAGCCCAGTGTGAGTTGGGACTGGCGTGGCATTGAAGAGGAACAATGTGAGACCATTCTCACTGAGCCCCATGACCCGAGGTATCATTACCTGGAGTTACTGGAAATTCGGGACAACCCCGGGGTTGTACCACCTTGGATCACCCTGATACAGTTGTTGGTGAAGTACGAGCCACGTGATCAGAATTTAGGTGCTGTCCAGTAAAGTTTAGATGGCCAGTTGTTAGGGTTTAAGGTAATTCAGATGTATTTAATCTACCACATATCGCGTAGCCTTTGGTTAGCGTTCTTTTTTTATTATAAAATCACCACATAATTCTACAAGGCACTACATAGTATGACGACATACGTGCGTAGGCTTACTGTGTGCGAGGATGTTGTAACTGCGGAGATGGTGCTACGCCCTCAGCCACTCTTCTCTGATTCCGCAGTTTCTCCTCGCGTCGCCATTTTGCGCGTCGATTGCTGAACCAAACCTGTCACAGAAAACGAACCTTGTTGTGAACACTTTCAGGATTAACTAAGAGATACAATTTTATTCGGGAGTTTAACCCGGAGGGCAAGTAACCCAAGGATATGGTAAGGGACTGATCACCTCAGACTAACTTTTCCAAACTGAGGGACTAAGCAAGTTTATTATACATAATGTAAATTACCTAGGATAACCCAGAAGAGTCAGTGACTTATTTTCATCTCATACTTCTCCAGGCCGAGGGACAGATCATTCTCTGTATTTGACTGATGAAGACTATCGCGTAGGCGGTACTCAACTGTTGCTTATGTGTCTTAAGATGTTCGGATCTTTAACCCCGGAGGGTTAGCCACCTAGGATAACCCAAGAATGGAAGTGGGTCATCGAGTGACTCTTATTTCCATTGGGGTCCTTAAGCTTGTCCCCCAGGATGCGACCCACACCAGTCGACTAACACCCAGATACCTAATTGCTAAGTAAACAGGGACAGCAGGTGTAAGGAAACATGCCCAATGTTTCCACCCTTGCCGAGGATCGAACCACTTACACTGTGTAAAGCAAGAGAATTGCTTACCAGGCCACGGGACACTCATCAACTTGTCGGTATTTTATACCATTTTCAACACAACTGCCCTAGTCCAGTAAGCCTAAACGCTAACAAAGTAACTAAAACATAGGTAACTTACTTGTATCCTAGCTTCTGGAAGACCAATTTTGGCTGCAAGTCTTTCCCTCGCAAACACGTCTGGATAATGCGTCCGCTCGAACTCTGAGGAAGCGGGAAAGTGGTCATGAAGGGCATGACTTCGTTTTAACAAATGTGGCATAAAACTGAGTAATGGATACCGACAGATGGTTTCAACGGACATCAGAGCCAACACTAGGACATGTTAACTAGAAAACGTTTTTTAATATGTCCTAGTGATGGTCCATGTGCTTCCTTTTAGAACCATCTTTATTAACAAAATTAGGTATATGGCGCTGTATGGATTCCCAGGTTAGAGCTTGAACGAAGCATGTTGACCCAACACGTCCATCATGCAGGATGGTTCCCCTGACATTCTCCATCATGCAGGATGGTTCCCCTGACATTCTCCATCGCACAGGATCACATCCATCATGCAGGATGGTTCCCCTGACATACTCCATCACACAGGATCACGTCCATCATGCAGGATGGTTCCCTGACCTATTCCATCACACAGGATCAAGTTCGTCACACAATGAATTTCAATAAATAAACGAATTCTGTCAGTTTGAACTAGGACAGTACAGGCCACTTACATTCAGTAGCTTTAAAAAATTTCCTTTCGGCAAGGCTGGAGTTTCTTGCAAATGGGGATTACTATTTTTTATGCCAAAAACAGGTGAGGAATCACTTAGGACATAGCAACGTTTTGTTCCTGGGACCGAAAGGAGTGTACAACGTCCCAAGATCGAAACGTTTCCATTAAATGGCCTAAGTGTTTGCCCATGTGCTTTAGCTACAATTTATCACTATTATATAGCAAGTGTTTCATTATTTTGAGTGGCATCTCACACGCAAGTTGAATGTATGGTGACGCAATCATGGAAAAAATCACATATTAATCCACACTTAAGTTGCCTCTAAGTGATGAAGACAGTACCAGAATCACTCGAAACATTCAATTTGCTAGTTGAGCTGACGTTAGTGAAGCAGCCACTGAAGACACCAGGTGAATAATCAACAATGTGGAAGGAATGAAAATCTCATTAATTTAAGTTTCCCCAGCCCTTCAAGGAAATTTTTATGCAATATTTTACGTTTTTTAAAGCCTTTTTAAGACGGAATGAGGGTGTTTTAATGCTGAAGGAATCTTGATCCAAGGAACTGGAGCTATCCTTCCCTCCAGGTCCCAAGGTGCTGTATGACTTTTAGGGGTTTAGAGCTTCCTCCTGAATGTAACTGTTTGCCAATGAAGCTGTAAGCTTAGTGTGCCATTGAAGCTGTAAGCTTAGTGAGCCCCCTTATATCCCTGAAAGTTGCCTGACGACGATTTCAGGGATCATCGTCCCCTCCCCTCCCCTTCCTTGATCCTGTCCCCAGACAAGGCCTTCCTCCTGGTTGATGGCCTGATCAACCAGTCTCTTACTGCAAGCCTCACGAAGTCCATATACACCACAGTTCAGGTCATAAGGAAGTTCCCTCTTGAAGACAGCGTAGGGTCTGTTGGTAATTTCCCTTATGTATGAAAGAAGGGTGTTGTCTTGGTTCCCTTACACTTATTGTGTTATCTCTTAGTGTACTCCTCAAAGCCCTGCTTTTCACTGGAGGCATTTTGCCCTGTCTGACGAGCCTTTTGCTCTCTTAGGGAGTAATTTCGATGCGCAGATTTGGGACCAATCGCTCCGGAATTTTCAAGGAGTACGTTATGAAATCTGTCTCGCTCTGCACTCTAGAGAGTGCAGTTCAGGGGATTTAGGCATTCCCACTAGGACATTTATTAGAAAACGTTTCGGTTCTGGGACCAAAGTGATCAAGGTCCCAGGACCGAAACGTTTCCTAATAAAAATGTCCTAGTTTGCCACGTGTCTTTTTTCACCATCAGAGATTAACAAAAATACAGTTACAAGGAATTTTCAAAGACAACATTTCGCCCTTGTGTAAGCGGAACGTTGTCAATGTTTTGCATAACAGAATTTATTTATTTCTCAGCGTGTATCCACGCAGAGGACAGGAACGCGAGAGCCAGTGAATACGCTAAGGGCTCAGAATAAAACCCTGAAGAAGATAAAAAGAGTGTATGTGGGTTCATATTGTTTATAATGTTTTCATTCATTTATTTGTTACGAAGTTTCACCATCGGGCATACTGAGGGAAAATTATGAATTAACAGCACGAAAGACTACCGCCAGGCACAGCGGAGCTGTTATCCTTCTGTGCTGGCAATTTATTGGTGCCAAGTTCGTAGGCATTGTATAGCCTTAATGTAATAGTCATTAGTAAGGCCTCACTTAGATAAGGCAACTCATTAATGGTCTCACAGAAGCAGTGTTACATTAACTGAATTTAAACTACTTTTCAGGAGTAAAGCCATTTATACATCAGTTTGTCATCCAAAATGGTAAGTTTATCATGAATATTCAGCTTTATTGAGTTGTGATGGTGATTTCTGACTCCATTTTAGATTGTGTGTGTGTGTGTGTGTGTGTGTGTGTGTGTGTGTATGTGAAAGAAAGGGTAACTGAGTGATAAGCATGAGTGAGCCTGAGTTAAGGGAAACTACGTTATTCCTCCTGAGTTATGTACCTGGAAACCTGTTTGACTTTGCTGATCTTTAAGAAGTAGCGTATCATACACATCGTTAATAAACAGAATTTATAATCTGTAAAGAGACAAATGTATATTTCGCAGAATCTAGCCTAAATTTTATACACTGGTTTTCTTATTCTGTGATTAAGGTACCATAACTAGACAAACTAAATAAATTTTTGTAGGTAATGCAATCTTCAGGAAGCCTGTAACATGTGTTACATAAGATGTAGGAGCACTGCAGCAGGCCTACTGGTCCATGCAATGTAGGTTCAAAACCATAAACTCCCAAAAGGGAGAAGTGAGTATATGCAGTTTCTCTGCTCGTTCTGTGCCGCTGCACGCTTCAATCCGGCTCTCGCTCACCTTTCTCGAGGCTGTCGATCTGGTCGTTGGTGAAGGAGGTTCTGTTCCTCTGCAGCTTCCTTTTAAGGTGCAGCCTTGCCTGGTCCTCACTGTTGCTGTTCTCACTGCTGCCCGCGTTGCTATCTTCACTCAGCTCTCCGGCATCACCTGTAAACAAGGTAACACTCAATAAATTTTCCCTAGATAATTGATAAATGGACCTCCATGTCAAAGACAGCACAAAAGGGGATCTATATTAATTGCCGAGTAACTGAGTAAAGAAACTGCATTTCCAGTTGCTGTTAGTTTATCAGTGATCTGTTCACCGGTGCCCGTTATAAGGAGATGCGGGGCAAGACAGTTGGGGACACGGGGGAGCATCAGAGTTCAAGCTAAACTGGCTTTTTTATCAATGTGACCATGTTATGACTAAGTGAAGAGTAGTGTTAAGGGTGATAACTACGCCACACAAGATGGTGACGCCACACGGTGTTGACCTGTGTGGCGTCACCTCCGTCTCCTCTCCATCATCACAACAAAACGCCTCGCATCGCCCCTCTTTAGTTTCCATTTTATTTTTCCGACATACGAGAAGTTACAAACAA